GGCCAGAACACATCCCGCCATCGAGGAGCGAGACGAGAGTCTCGATGTAGCTCATTTCTCGAGAAAGAGATTCCAATCATGGGCGGAATCAATGATTCGGGGCGATTCGGTGGCAGTTCCTGATCGTCGAAATCGTCCTGACGCGTTTTCCATCCATCATGCATACACATCGAAGCCGCAATCCATTGCGGAAGCTGGCGCGACGCTGGAGCTCTCATCGGTGGTGCTCGCTCGAATCACGGTTCCTGAGCATTCTTCGGTCATTCACGAATCATAAATGCTCAGGGTATGCGTTTTAGGCGAAATAAGCGTTTATGGATAATAAATGCTCAAAATATGAACTTTAAGCAAAATAAGCACTTATGGATGATGAATGCTAAAATCATGGATTATAAGATGAATAAGTACTTTGCTTGAACGTACGGGCTCTACTCATGAGCATGAGATCAACTGCCCTTTTGACGTTACTGGCTCCATCCGTTGAGGCTGCCACGGAGTCATCAGTCGAGAGACCTACATAGCGAAGGCGTTCGTCTATGTGATCACGGATATTGGATCCTGTCGCTTGATCATTGAGTTTAATCAAGCCAAGAGCAACGCTCCTCGACTTCCCGAGAATCGGGGCGTGATGGTGTACATTCAAACTGATGTACCGATCGGTACCAACGACGGTGGCTTCGTCGAACGACATAGAGAATTTGTATCCTGCCAAGAAATTCGGAGTCAATTCACAGCCGCATCGCGGAGCTCAAAATGTGCCGGAGAGGAGATGATTTCGTGGAAAGAGGAATACCAAACCTTTTTCAATTATCCTTTCGAACGCGACTCGGATTTCCCCTCTCACAATTCCTGCATCTTCCTCCAGGTATTTCCGCTGAGTATTCGCAGACTTCGGAGGCTGCATCTCCGTCGGATACGCTCTCGAGAACAACCTTCTAATCGTGGGCGATTTCACGACTTGATTCATGCTGAGGTTAGCCTCACAGATCAAACGAACTACCTCGCTCCTCGCACAATGTTTCTTCTTCAAAAAATTATCCAGCTGCAACTGTGTCCGCTTTCTTTTGCGGCAGGTTGCTGCTCTCGGAACCTCGCCGTCGTCGATTGGGCATTCTTGCTCTCGACTCAAATCCACGAGGGCCAGATCACTAGTCTCCGATAAGCCGTGTTGCTTCGTCAAATGTTTTATGATTGAGCTGGTCGATCCATCGCCCTTCTTGGGGACCTGACAATTTGAACG